TAGAAGAGTAGCTCATCTGCCAAAATCAGTGTTATCTTGGCAAGTATGACTGATTTTTGCAAATGACATATCCTCTATGAAAATACTGGGCGGGGGGGCGGGACTAATATTTGTTAAGATAAGACTGATTTTGGCAATTGACATATCCTCTAAGAAAATGAAGGGCGGCTTTTCTTAGAGGATATATCATTTGCCAAAATCAGTTTTATCGTAGCAGGTACTAGCCCCACCCACCCACCCTCTGTTTTCATAGAAGGTATGTCTTCTGCCAAAATCAGTTTTATCTTATCAGGTAATAGCCCCACCCACCCACCCTCTCTTTTTTTAGAAGGTATGTCATCTGCCAAAATCAGTTTTATCTTATCAGGTAATAGCCCCACCCACCCACCCTCTCGTTTTTTAGAAGGTATGTCATCTGTCAAAATCAGTTTTTTCTTATAAGATACTAGTTTCCTTAGCTTAGCCTCAATAAGTCAAAATGACGTCTCAGCAATAACTTGAAGTGTTTATGTTTATACATCGGAAGAATGTCACGTTTGTCGATTCCAAACAGTGGATTAAAATTATTAATTAAGCCACAAGCGAACAAAATGTGTAATTTTTATTTAATCATTATTAAATACTGACGTGCGTATTCTCACATTTTTGAGAAAATGGGGTGACTCACTCTTAATTTGTTTAATAAAAAATTAGAGGGTGATTAATTTTATAAAATGTATTTTATCTAGTCACTCTTTATATGCAATTCTAAAAATATGAAGGCAATGACAAATCATAAGTATAGACTCATCATACTTTGCATTTTTCAATGGAATTTATTCGGTAAAATTTTGAAATGACGTCATTAATTTTTAGGGGGATGAACAAATAAATTTTGACCAAAAATTTACCTTGCTGAAACGCCTGCAGAATTTGAAAATATTCGAATTTGCAGTTTCTGATTTAAATAAAAATAAATGGACTCATTCATTAACTTTTTGAGTCTACAGGGTGGCCCAAATGAGAAGAGATAGCGCGTTTTAGATTTGTCCCAGTTTCATGTTTCGGTTATAAATATAAACAATTTGCCCACACAAAATAACACAAATGTGTGACGCGTTTTGTCAACTATTTTGGCAACTTTTCAGCTAAAGAAGGACTGGCATTGAATATTGACCGTCCTGTTATTTATATATACATGTTACCGCTCTCATTCTCCCACTCAAGAAGGCGCAATAAGAAAGAAAGGGTAGGACCAGCTTCTACGGTAAACACTCTATGCCTATTTTTAAATACTTATTTTTAGACTTTCAAAGATAAAATTTTGTGGCATTCTTAGAAATAATGAATATTGTGGCTTTCGCTTCGTTTTGGCGAATGGATACTTTCATGTTTGTTTAAAAGTGAAAGTTAGAGTGCGAACTGAGAATGAAGACACGATATATGAGGAACGAAAATGGAAATGTAGAGAACGACAATTAGAGCGACAACCAAAGCATAAATAAAAATGAGAGCGAGAACGAGAATTTGAATAGGAATGAAAACGAAAGTGGTAGTCAGAGTGTGGGCAAGAATGATAATGAGACAAGAACGAAAATGAAACAACAATGAGAAACATGAGAAAGTGGTAATGAGGACGAGAAGGAGAAGGAAAGCAAGAATATCGACATTAAGAGAGAGAATTACGAACGAGAATGACGCAGAAAGTAAAAAGGATAGTTGGCGTACAACTGAAAGAATGAGAGTAGGATTGACAACGGGATTGAAATCGAGAGAATAAAAATTAGATTGAGAGTAAGACCAAGGACGTGAATGAAAACTGGAGTGAAAACCAAAATAAGGACAATCACAACGAAAAATAAAATGGGAAAGACAAAAAGAAATGATAAAGGGAACAAGAATGGAACATGAATAAAAATGTAAAGGAAGATGAGGACTAAAGACAAAAATGAAAAGGAAACCAGATGAGAGTACGATTGACAACGGTGTTGAGAACGAGAGTAAGAATGAGATTGAGAATGAAAACTGGAATTAAAAGCAAAACGAGAATGAAAACGAAACGAAGAACGGTAACAAGAAACAGAATGAAACCGAGTGTAGATCTAGAATGAAAGCAAAAGTGAGAGTGTAAGCAAGAATGAAGAACTACAACGACGACGAAAACAAGATAAGAACAAAAATGAGAATGAAAAGGAAGATTGTAACGAAAGGCAGAGTAGAGTATTAACTGAAATGAGGGCGAGGATGAAACCGAAAATAGAAAGGATATAGTAAACTAGGATTAACAAGAACTAGAATAACAATGAACATGCGAACAAAAGAGGGGGGGTATGACCAGCTTCTGCGGTAAACACTCTATTCCTATTTTTAAAAATTTTTAGACTTTCAAAGATAAAACATTTTAAGTTTTCACCAGTCTTGTGGCATTCTTAGAAATAATATATACATTCAATTAGTTCCCATTCGCACTAATCCAAAGAACATATAATTAACCCCGCCCACCCACCCCACCTTTATTTTAGTGATTCATTTTATTTAATACGAATGAAAAGTGGATCTCACTGAACAGATATAAAATCGTTAGAATGAAAACAACGCGGGGGGAGGTAGTATTTGCTAAGATAAGACTGATTGTGGCAAATAATGACATACCTTCTAAGAAAATAGAGGGTGGGTGGGCGGGACTAGTACTTGATAAGAAAAGACTAATTTTGGCATATCCTCTAAGAAAATAAAGTGGGCGAAGCTGAACATTGCTAAGATAGAACTGAACAATATTAAGAGCAGTTACTGGAATGAGGATGGGGTGGGTGGGCGGGGCTACTGTTTGCTTATAATAGACTCTGTAAGAAAAAATTAAACTTAGCCCCGCCCACCCACCCGTTCTCTAATTTTTTCTTCTGAAATACTGTGCTAAGATTCATTTCGCGAATAGCTACTTTCATGTTTTTTGACGTTCTATGACCTGTACAGTACGAAAAAATGTGTCTGACGTCTGTCGTTTGCCATTTTTTAGGCAATTGTAAAATTTTATATGTATTTTAGCACTTTTATATAGTAAAACGCTAATAAAATGTGTTTAATCATTCCCACCAACAAAATGATGACGCTCCACAAAATTTTTGATAGTACATTTCATATGTAGAACGCAAATTGTATAAAATAACATTCTCCTATACTTGTGGTTTATAAATCCGCCTTGAGGTTTTTCCCAGTACATCAAAATTTTCGCAAAAAAATCGGCATTGTTTAGAGTTTGTTGATATTAAATCGAATATCTTATTTCGTCCACATACTATCTGAATTTTTGAAAAATTTTTGCTTTTCTTGCAATTGTATCCAAACTGTTTTGTGAAAAGTTGGCTTTGATAGAAAATCACCACTTACTGTTGTTTTCAATTTTCTGCACCAAGGTTTTTAAGATCACAACACTTTATTGTAATTAAAGAATCATGTTAAATCTCTGAATGTCCAACTCAGTGGCTTGAAATATCCTTTATAAATTTTTGTCGAATTTGTGATTACGCGGAAAATTGCAAAAGTAGGTCCCCCGTTTCCGCTGTTCGATATTAATTAGCTAAATAACCTCACATCGATTGTTGTCAAATCCCCACTAACAATATGATGACGTCCCCTCAAAACTGCGCATAGTAAATACGCTTTCAATTTTATAAAATAAAATTTCTATACGTGTAGTTTATGAATCCGTGTTGAGTTTTAAGTTTTTTAGACAACATTTTGCAATTTAACTTTGAAACTGCAAAACCGAATGCTCTGAAATCTTGCAAACGATTTAAGGTTATCGTAAGCATGATAAATCGCTAAACAAAATTTATCTGTTTATCCCCTTCAAAAAAATTGATGACGTCATCACAAAATTTACTGGTACTAGTGTTTATCGATGCAGTCATCGTTCCCATAATTATTTATACAAGGTGACTCGATATTTCAGTTTTTTCAGATAGAACATCCTGTATTTTAAAAATGTTCTATTTTTGTTCTTTTTCTTTTTTGTTAACTATTTTCTGTATTTAAAGTTGGTAGTTGCTGCAATTTTTTTACTTTTTAAGAGACGCAGCAACATATTGGAAGAATGAGGACAAAAATAGAGTAAGATACAGTAATAAAATACAGGCTGTTCTATTTGAAAAAACTGAAATATCGATACCCTGTGCGTACGTTTATTTATCCCTTTATAAAATATTGTAGGACAGATTTTAAAAATAATCTATTGCTGTTTTGTGCCAAAATAAATCATGAAAATTAAATTATGGTTATAAAGCCTGAGAAGGGCCTGATGAGAATTTAAAAAATATATAGGGTGTTTCATTTAAAAAAACTAAGTTGTCGCTATAGAAGTCTGACCTGACGCGCCATGACCTGACAAGCCACAGGTCAATCCCCTGAGTGTGAAGTACTGTTTACATTTTTTAATTTTATTGTTCGTAATGTACACAACTGGAGCACCAACAATACGCTTTTTGAGGCATATTTGTCAACGAAAGTGTATTTGATAATTTTGAGGGATAACGTCATCAGCATCCTGACGGGGATAAATTAATTAACCATATTTAATGCTTCATAATTTCTAAATTAAATAAATAATCAAAAAATATAAAAAGTCCGAAATAGAAATTATGAGCACTACTGTCATAAATTATGACATTTCTGGGATGTCGCTCGCCAACTATTGTTATTTTTTTGTACATAAAGACGCTTCATTTAACCACCCCTCCCCTCCCCGTCATGATTTATGGCCACCTCCACACAAGTGCAAAATCTGCAGCCCACCCGAAACACCATCGCCAATAAACCATAAACCCTAGTGAATTTGTTAGCCCCCGGCCACTCCGTACTTCCTTATCAGAGGGATGCTCCACTTCTCCCCACTCCCGGCGAACTCGCCCCCTCCACCCGTCAAGGAGGGGGTAAATGCGTTACGTTAGGCTAGGTTAGGTCAACCCTCGTGCGTGCAGAATTTTTACATTCAGTAAGCAACTGTTTGGCCTGCGGTACGGATCTGTACACAACTCTGGCACATACGATCGTAACAGACATTTCACATGACAGACGAAGTCGAAAAGAAAGTGACAGTGGCGTACGTGATGGACATTGAACAGTCGGTGTGAAGACAGTGCCCGAAGACGATGCCGCTGTTGCAAGAAACTACCCCGAAAAGAGGTAAGGGGGCGGGGATGATGAATTTCGCGGAAATTTGGCGGATATTGATAGATGGGAGAGGGAGAGATGCGAGGGCTAGATTTAAAAAATCGGCGCTTTTTGACGGCTTAATGAGCTTGCAGGACGAAACCATGTTGCATGCAAAAAGAGTAATTTATGGAAAGCGCCGGCTTGATGAGGAAGATTTAAAAAAAAAAACCGTGGGTTTAAAAAGTACACGGGTTTTTGGGCATGAGGCTTGCAGGATGCAATCATGTTGCCTGCAAAATGAGTAATTTAAGCAAAGAGTAAAAAAAATACTCAAGGAACACGAAAAATACAGTTGCTGATATTTGTTATTGTTATTTATGTCTCGTTTGTTCTGAGTAACTAGCGTGGAGCTTGTTTATTTCATCATATGTATTTATATTTTTCATTATATTATTTAGAGATATCGTCAAGAAATATAAATGTATATAATATATTTCGAAATTAACATCGAGAAAAATATTGAGAACATTATGACTGTTTATTCTAATTCTGTTGAAGAAACATAAATATATACAGGGTGTCCTCGTTACTATCTAAATATTCTAATGTCAATAATTATTTTAATTTTTGGGATCACTGCATATATTTTTTTTAAATATTCACGATATTGTACTGTTTATATTTGCGTAATACATACTGCTTGAACAATTTAATTTTTCTTATGTAAATATCTTCGATGTCATGAATTTCAATTTCCTGTGTGTAAATATTGCACTATACTGGGTGTTTGTGAAAGATTCATCAATATTGAATCATACAGGCCGCATTTAAATGGTGTTAATAATACTTTGTAGTATGTTTTACAAACACAGCATAATCAAATGATACTCATAATTTCTAAACTGTTGCTTTCACTGGAAGCAACCTGTTACACATTTTTCTAATACATGTGACACATTTTCTTCAACTATGAGTCAGTTGTTGCTACTAATGTTGTGGTAAAACCACAAAACAAAAAAATCAATAAATATTAAAATAAATAAGTGTTAATAAAAATTAAATCAATCATTCTGTATATATTAATATTAATAACAAATCAGTTTAACCCAAGGAATTAATCGTCAGCGTCAACACTGATACCATATCTATTTACACTACGCCAACTAATAATTATTTATAGTTCGTCCTTTCCAAATCCTTGACCTAACTCAACATAGTAATTCCACTTCTTCGCCTCAAACCTCGAACATTTCCGTTATTTGTTACACATTTTTTCTAATACATTATTAACGACCGCCATAACGATCACACATTCACTTTTAAAAATGCCCCGATTTATGTTAGATATTAAAATCGACTCCTCCGCAATCCCAAAAATTTAATTTGGAGCGAGGGAAGTTTTCTAATAACCCTCGCAGAAAATCAGTATTACATCAAGACGGAGAGGGAAGGGTTAAGAACGGTAGACGCTACTAATGAAGGAATGGGGAGGAGATAATGGCAAAGGATAATGGCTCGCGCTTGCGCTTCTTATCAGGACGACTTTGGGAGGAGTCCTCGTCCTGACGATTCATTACGGCGTCTTATTAACGGTGAAAAAGCGAGCGTCAGATCGGATTATTTAACGGAAAAGTTACATAAATACTCGTTAGGATGGGCAGATAAATAGCGAAGGTCCGTTGCGAGAGCAACGAGGTGGCTGGAGTAGATTCGGGGCTGCAACTTGAGAAATTAAAATTATATTAGGAAGGAGTAGTGCTTGGTATGGATTTTTAATTAGAGCCGCTGAATAAATTGCAAAAAAATTGTATCAAAAAAGTTAGACAGGAATTCTATTTTATAAAGTTCGTGAGTTTTATTTAAGCTTAAATTTATTTCGTTTTCTATATTATGACACTCATCAAAACGCTGCCGTGTCGTGAAATTTCACCAGAAAATGATTTTTTCTACTTTAATATTGATCCTTTAAATTTAACATTTGTTTTAATTAAAAGAACGCAGAATTTGTTTAAGGTAATAACAATTCATTATTTTTTTAACACTTTATAAAAGAAACTCAAATATATCTACAATTCGTAAATGTTCTTATGAGACGCATTATTTAAAAAAAGAAATTCAAGAATGCGAGCGCAGCGAGCACCTTCTGGTTTTATTAAAAAATTGGTCTAAATTTATACAATTTTGAGGAAAATGGGGTCATTTTATTAATAAAATGGACTGGTTCATTCCTTATTTTTTTGAGTCATCCTATATTAGTAAAAACGATTTATTCGGTAAAAGTTTCAGATGACGTCATGAATTTTTTCGGAGGGGATGAACAGATACATTTTGGTCAACGATTTATAATGCCTACGATAATTTTAAAACGTTTGCAAGACTTCATTGCATTCGATTTTTGTATAATATCTGAAATAAAATCCAAATAAAAACTAACACAGGCAACAGATGGCAGACAGACAGGCAGACAGACAAACGGAAATGGGAAACTTATGTTTTCGTACTTTTGAGCTCATTATTATGACGAAATAAATGGCGAGCTCCTTGAACACCTACTGTAAAACGAAAATTCTCTTACAAATCCAATTTCTTAGCTACATTTGAAAATTTAATTTTGCGTATTTTATTTTTTACGTCCTGAACGTAAACTAAGAAAGTATTATAACATAGCCCATTGGAAGGTTGGTTACTTTTATGTTTTCTGGACGTTTTATAATCTCTAGAAGACAAAAAAAAAATATCTCCCGTTTCCGTCTGTTTGTCTGTCCGGATTTTTATTAAACAAATAATTTCCGAGACTAAATTTTACATGTGTATTATGAATATTGTGTATATGGTAAAACGCTAACCAAAATTTGGCTAATCACCCCCACCAATAATAGAATGACGTCATTTCCAAAATTTTATTAGTAAATATTATTTAAATTTTATAAAATAAGCTACTCATGCACATGTGGTTTATAAATATGTGTGAGTCTTTACTTTAGACATCCAAATTAAAAAAAAAAAATCACAATTGTATTTGACACTTTAGCATGATAAAGCGTTAATTAAAATTGATTCGTTTATTGCCTCCCCGAAAAATGATCACGTCATCTTAAAATTCTGCCGAAATATTCATTAAATTTTATAAAAGAACGTATAACAAAATTTTACAATACAACTTTGCAAAATATTTTAAGGTTATTAGAACTATGGTAAATCGTTAAAATTTGTCTGTTGTCTTACAATTTTGCCGTTGTTCTTTAAATTTATTAGTGCTTTTCGGAAAAAAAACCGAGTGTGGTTAATTAATTAATTAGTCCTTTTTTCTATGCTGAGGAGGCTCAAATTTCATTTTCTTTTAACTGCTGATGCTTGTAATCTGAACGTGCTAATAATCTAACTCTTTCTTCCATTTTCTTTTTCGTTTTCATTCCCGCTCTACTCCAATTTTTGTATCCTTTCTGACTTTCCTTCTTTTATTCGTTTTCATTCTCATTCTCGTTCTATTTTTCTTCTAACCCGTTTTTGTCGTCACTTTTTTTTCATTCTAGTATTTGTTCCTGTTATACCTTGTATTCTTTTTTGTTTTCATTTCGTTTTCGTCGTTCTAACTTCGTTCTCTAAGTCTTTTCCACTTGCGTTTTCATTTTAGCTTTCATTCCAGTTCTTCTTTCCTTTATGCCTTTCTTGCCCATCTTTGTTTTCATTCTCGTGCCTCTCGTTCCCGTTTTGTTTCTCATTTTTATTCCTATTTTGCTTTGATCGTGGTGCTAATTCTCGTTCTCATACTCGTTTTATTTTAATTCTAGTTCCCATTTTGTTTTTCATTCTCTCTTTATAATCCTCATTATTCTGGGTTTCGTTTCAGTTTTCATTTCTCGTTCATTCTTTCTGTCTCTTACTCTCGATCTCACTCTGGATTTCACTCTTGGTTTCAGTATCATCTTCATTCTTGTTCAGTTTCTCTCACTCTCATTCCCAATCCAATTCTCTGTTTCTCTCATTTTGGCTTTCCTTGCTGGTTCCACTCTCGTTCTCGTTCTTATTCTTGTTCATTTTTATACCAGTTCTCATTCTTATTCGCTGTCTCATTCTCGTTCTTAATTGCGTCTGTCTCCCTTCCTCTCTTATCATTATTCTTGCTTATTTCTCGTTCTCGTCCTCATTAAATATTTTATCTTTCATTCCAGTTCTTCTTCCCTTTCTGTCTTTCTTTTAATATTTTGTCTTTTTTCTTACTATACGTAGTCGTCTTTTCAGAACAAGAAATTTAAAGCATGTTTAAAATGGTAAATTCTTGTAGAGACATATGGATCTTCAATTAAGCACCGCCCCTCGATCTGACAACGAATGAAAAATTTATCACAATTGAGAATTGAGGTCGGGGTGAGTATGGGTGGGGCTTAATCTTCGGCTCTATTTTTTTCTTAATATACCATGTTTTTAATCTCTCGTAGAGAAATACGATTTTGCAGTTAAGCTCCGCCTTCTTGGCGCACGACGAATAAAAAAAATCATCACAATTGAGACAGGGTGGGTGGGCGGGGCTTATATTTTGTTTTTTTTTCTAAATATGTGTAGTCATCTTTTCACAACAAGAAACTTAAATTATGTTTAAAATGGTAAATTTGTATAGGGAAATATCGATTTTACAATTAAGCTTCACCCCTTGGCTTACGACCAATAAAAAAATCATCAGAATCGAGACAGGGCGGGTGGGCGGGCTTATATTTTGCCTTTTGTTTTCTTAATATACATAGTATTCTTTGCCTTTTTTTCTTAATATGCGTAGACTTAATTTGACAACAAGAAACTCAAAACATATCTAAATCGAATGAATTAATTTGAGATAAATAATATAATTCTTACCCGAGGCGGGGCCAAGCTTTGGAAATAGAAATGCACACAGAGGGCGTTCAATATAGAAAATATAAAGTAACAGTTTCATTAATAGTTTTCTCGACGATTTCGGGTTATCATTACAATGGTACAGTCGCCGCTGTTTTTATACACGAGGCGAGGTCGAGAATTGAAAAATATACCACGGATTCAGTATTCAAGATTTTCATCTCATATCAATTTTGAGTGTTATAAGTTTTGAGAAAAGTGGAGATCTAGGACGTAATTCTTACCCGAGGCGAAGCCGAGAGTTAAAAAATATGCCAAAGATGACAGATCTTGTTTAAAAAGAAGTATTCTAAATATTTCTTTCACATCAATTTTGACTGATATACATTTTGAAGAAAAGTTGAGTCCTGGAATGTAATTCTCACCCGAGGCGGAACCGAGTGTTGAAAACGAACATTTCGGGGGTTTAATTTTGAAAAATTAATTAAGTAGCAGTTTTATTAATAATTTTCTGGGCGATTTATAAACCCCGCCCACCCACCCTATCTCAATTGTGATTATTTTTTTATTCTTGATACTCAAAAACACGTCTTACATGGTAATTTCTTGTCGAGAAATAATAGGATTTTGCAGTTAAACTCCGCCTTCTTGGCCCACGACGAATAAGAAAAATCATCACAATAGAGATAGGGTGGGTGGGCGGGGCTTCATTTTGCCTTTTTTTCTTAATATGGAGCATAGTAAATCGTTAATAAAATTTGTCCGTCATCTTACAATTTTGGCGAATTCTTATGAGTGTTTTTGGGAAAAAATGTGAGTGCGTCGTTAATTAATTAATCAGTCCTTTCTTCTGGGTTGAGACAAAATCAATCAAATTTCAGTTTCTTTTAATCGATGATGCTTGTAATCTGAACGTGCTGATAGTCGAATTCTTTCGAAATATAAACATACATATCGAAATATGTACTGAAAAATTGAGAATGTCTTTCTTATATCTTTTTTATTATTCCTTGTTGGTTATTTGCTTAAATATATTTTACATTGTTCACACTTGTGTGGACTTGGTTTTTGACTCAAACTTGATTTATTTTATTTTTATAAAATTTATAAAAAATAAGAGTGACTGTTTTTGGATTTGTTCCACAAATTATGCAGTCTGTTCCGAAAATACAGTACATGCTATAAAAAAAGTCGGGAATCCAGTTGAATTAAACAACAAAATAAAATTTTGAGTGATACAATATTTAGCGTATATGTACTACAAAATTGGAGGCCCAAAATTGTACAAATGTGTAAGCTATATAAACCAAAGTGATTTTAAAGGAAATAACAGAAATTTTGAAATGACGTCATCAGTATTTTGAAGGAGATGAATGTGGTCAGTATGTCGTTTCTTAGACAAATAGTAAATTTTGATTTGATAACTTGTTGAGCAAAACTTGTTTGTTTCCAGATATGCTGACCACGGTGGACTCCGACGAGCCCGCCCCCATATCCTCCGTCTCGTACCCGGCCCTCTTCACCCCGTCGCACCTCCTCATGGCCATGGCCGCCTCCCGACTTTCTTTATCCGCGAACCCCGCTTTCTTCCACACCGGCCTCCCGTCCCTCCCCTGGCAGGCCAACTCGCCCCCGTCGCCCCCCAGCAGCGACCCCATCGGTAGCGCCCTGAAATCCCGGAAGCTCAACAACAACAACATCGTCAGCAGCAGCAGCTCCGACCCCGTCCGGCCCGCGAAGCGGAAAGCCTGGAAACCCGACGAGGAGCTCCCGTCGCCCACCTCCAGCGTGTCGCCGCCCACCGGCGACAAGGCCTCCAGCCGGGACCGGCCCTTCACGTGCCAGATCTGCAACCGCTCCTTCGGGTACAAGCACGTGCTGCAGAACCACGAGCGCACCCACACGGGCGAGAAGCCCTTCGAGTGCCAGGAGTGCCACAAGAAGTTCACCCGCGACCACCACCTCAAGACGCACATGCGCCTGCACACCGGCGAGCGGCCCTACCGCTGCGACCACTGCGACCGCCAGTTCGTCCAGGTGGCCAACCTGCGGCGGCACCTGCGGGTGCACACCGGCGAGCGGCCCTACGCCTGCGACCACTGCTCGGCCAAGTTCTCCGACTCCAACCAGCTGAAGGCGCACTTGCTCATCCACACCAACGAGAAGCCGTTCGAGTGCGAGCGCTGCCGCTGCCGCTTCCGCCGCCGGCACCACCTGCTGCACCACAAGTGCGGCGCGCCGGAGGAGGAGTCCACGCCGGAGTCGGAGCCGGAGGACGAGCCGCGGCGGCGGCGCGCGCTCCACCCGCCGTCGGTGCCGCTGGTCACGCTACCGCTGCACGTCTCGCTGCCGGAGCAGACGGAGCCGGAGGACCTCTCCATGACCACGGGCCTGCACTCCCACAGCAGCGGGGAGTCGCCGCTGTCGCGCTCGCCGAGCTCGCGGGAGGAGGACGAGGAGGACTTCGACCCGCACGAGTCGACGACGATCTTCCTCCAAGGCCGCCACTCCTAGTCTACTCGCAGAGGTAATTCGCCGTTTCAGGGATTTTTTAGTTCTTTAGTTGCTTTGTATATGTTTTGTACAGTTGGGTATGCAAGTTCCTCGACAATAGCTCTCACCCTGTTTTGTTATAGTGCAGAGCCGCGGTTGTAAATAATAATTTTAGCTGAGTTCAAAGAAATTACGCAAAACTGGTACTTCCTTCTACCTGACAACGGTCCATTTGCATACAATTTGCAAGGTCGCTGTTAAATTTATTGACGGTCAGGCGGCGAGATGAAGGTTTTTGGACGTTGTGGGTTCAATTTTCACAACTATGGTTCGAAGTAGAACTTTAAGGAACATGTTTTTGGGTTGGAGGGCTCTTTCCAAATTAACTTCCCTTTGTGGATTTTTTTCAATATCCTGTTTTCATTCAATGTGGTGTTCGTCATTCGGCAAGACTAGTTTTGAGGCACGATTTTTAAGAAATTCGATACGTTCGAGCTTTGGGGTGACGTACACATGATCTGGCTTTATCGGGAGTTAACGGAAAGTCGGATTATTTCGTTTGGGAATGGTTCGAACACTGGGAAATATCTACAGCGTTCTCGTTTCAAATAATCATTTCTACAAATTTCCAAACTCAAAATATACTCTCTAAAAAAAAAAAAAAATACGAAACACCTATAAGAGTATTCTGGCATAAATTATTCAAAAAGTTTTTAAATTATCTTTTGGGGTATTTTTTTAGCCAAATATGATTTCAAACTTTTTTTTCCAAAATTAAAATATATCTGTCATTCCATCGATGTAATATATACACGGTGAAGACAAATAATGTTGACCAAGGTTGATTTTTTGGCATTGATTGATAACGTGTGTTCAATTAAAAAAGTCATCAATTTGGCGTTCCCCTTTGATAGAAAAAAATGTAGCGAAAAACGCATGTGTTTTATTAATCCATACTGTTGTGTTGTATAATTGACATTTCCACATTGTTAGCTGTCAACGATTAAATTTTAAGTTTATTGTAGACATGCTTCACAATGTTTACAAAAAATCAAGGCCAACTGGATGATTTTTTCAATTGATTTATATACACGGTGAGTCACTAAGTGTACGTTTTTTGATATCTCATAAATTATTATTAGAAGAAAAAGTTAAGGCAAAAGTTGTACGATGTCTTAATTAACATACAATACAATTATTTTTGACTATACAGAGTGTTAGTTTTTTTAAAACAACACCCATATATCTTTACGTATTCTCCTTGGCTTGTTTTCGGCTGTATAACTATAGTTTATTTTTGAAATTGCGATGCGACGTTCCTAAGAATTTTCATGAATTTTTTTAGCAATGTAAGGGTAAAATATTACAGTGTTCAAATATCGATATTTTGTTTTTTTCAAAAAAAAAAAAGAAACATCCGGTGATGGATATCTGAAAATTCTGAATATCTGATAGTGGAAAATTCTAAAAAAAAACGAAAAATGAAAAAAAGAATAAGATACAGTAGTAAAATACAGACTGTTCTATTTATAAAAGAAAACTGAAATATCGATATTTGAAAATGGTAACATTATAGATTTTTTTATAAACACTCTGTACAATAAGAATTTTATTTATGCCACAACAAAACAAGAACCTTGATTTATTTCTCCACAAAATATTGGAACACTCATTTTAAAAATAACCGAATTGTAATTTTTTTGTGGACTCTTGCAGTGTTAAAAAAATTCAAGAAATTTGGAATAACGTGGCACCTGAATTGCAAAAATAAGCTATAAATAAACTAGTTATAAAGTTTAGTAAGAGGCTAACGAAATCATATAAAATATCTAGGTGTTCTGTTTAAAAAAACTAAATTGTGTGTTGTGCTTCAAAAACAGAACACTCTGTACAGTTATAAATAATTTTGGTATATGCTACTCAAGTAACCACATAACTTTACCAAGTATATGCGTTTTTTCTATTTTCAATAATTATTGAGATCGAGTACGCGCTCTTAGTGACGTCCCAAATATACAGGATGTTCACCAAAAATGCAGCAAAAATTCAGGGCGTTATTCCTTGGGTTGTTTTAATTTTTCTTGTCCTTGGACGATTTTCGGAAAGACGCTTTGTTTCGAAGATACAGACGATAAAGTTTTTCGAAAAAAAAAAACATGTTTTATTAAATTTTCCATTAGAATAGTGTACACTAATGTTTTCAAATGGCCCGATAAATCAAAATCCAACGAATTTAAATCTCGGGAAGAAGCGGATCATAACTGAGGTCCACCTCGACCAATCCAGCGATATTCATATGCGCAGTACACCGTAGTTTTACTTTATTTTTATCACCCCGTATCTTCGAAACAAAGCGTCTTTTTTAAAATTATTCAAGGACAAAAAAACTTAAATAATCAAATGAATACGATCTTGAATTTTTGCCACATGTTTAATAAACACCCTGTACATATATATACAAGGTGAATCAATAAGATCGCACGTTTACACAGAGTGTTCTAAATGTTTGATTGGTCCCTTCGGAGGCTATCCAATCATAGGTATTTTATTTTTGAATTTCCATTTCTTTTTGGCATATATTGTCGATGTCAAGGTTCACAAAAAATTACAGCAAAGTGATTTTTAACATCTACATATGTTGCAAAATTTTATGTATAGTTAAACATATATTGTGGTTTAATATACAGGGTGTCGATTAGAAAAAACATCTGTATTTTAATAATGCATCTAATTATTTTCTGTCGACCTCCTGCGATGTATGAGTGTAAGTAGGCATTTTTTGTGCAGCAAAAAGCACCTTTAAATCTAATAGAGCTCACGCTTATTGATTCACCCTGTATATACCCATTTGTGGTTTTTAGTATCCATTACAAATGGTGCAGTTTTAAAATTGATGGTTGATGCTATACAGGGTGGGGCATTTGTTATTTCTTACTATTGGGATTCGTAAAAATATAAAATCGATTAAATTTCAAAACTTGAAGTATGTTATGGTCATTAAAAATACGCGAATTTTAATATTTTCAGTAATTTCAGAAGTATTTAGAAAGAATTACAAATTTTGATAATTTTCGAAAAAATTTTTTACACCTCAAATTTTGACATAAGTATATGTAATAACAAGTCTAAATTAATGCCAGTACATTGAATGCAATAGTGAGAAATGAAAAATTCACCACTCTGTAGACTTTAGTATATCATTCATTACTTGCAGTGGTATTGTCAAACTAGTCATAAAAAAGTAAAAAAAAATATTTTTATAAATTTACAAATTACGTAACCGGTGGTAATATAATTTTTTTGCATCGACTGACATTTCGACGCTTTCTATTTTTAACGCTTATATAACTGCATCGCTCTGATTGCACACAGGGTGTCTCAAAACTGGCCTTCCCTCGTGGGAATCGTCTCGCCGTCCGAAATCGATACCAGAAAGGCCATATCATGTCCGAAACGGGTTTATAAATATGCAAGGGTTGTTATCCCTAGTAAACCGATACGTCCCTCGGCCCTGTGCACTGTTTTAATATTTTTGTCGTTCTTTTCGATACCATGTGAAGTATATTAAAAAAAAAATCCACGAAAAGCATGTGAATATTTTCTGTACATAGCCTAAACATATCGAATTGAATGTAAAACTGCGTGTGGTTGGTTTATTTATTATAAAATAATTAATCGTAATAAAAGTGGCTGTATTTTCGTAATAATTGTTATAAAGATTTTTATTGTTAAAGATAAATAATTCACTGACTTGCAATATGTCAACCCGGTTCAATTGTGTGTAGGGTGCGTATCGTACCGTTTGAGTTGTAACAGATATATTTGTGCCATTTTGTTGTTTTAAGCAATACGGGTCTGATTAGTTTTTTAAGTTTTTGTATAAAATCGAACAGGGTTACCAATTAATATTTTTATACTTTTTTTTTTAGTTGGATAAATGTGAGATGTCAATTCTTCTTGTTGCTTGTGCTCGAACGCCGTACTTCGAATTGTACATAGATCGATCGACGTGCCGCGTTCGATAATGTGTCATTATTTTACAAGTGACTGTACACCACTCGACGCTTTTGTCGCGTGCTGTACATCACGATCCATGGTGGTACAATTGTCTACCTCTTAGTACCTAAAGAAGAAACGAATCTATTTCCATGTAACTGAACAAGACTGATTTTTATTAGATTCCTATATATAGTTGATATATGTAAATACAATAGTCAGAAAATTGTGATGTACAAAGTGCCGGCGACCCGTCGTCGCCACTTTGTACGAAACAACTACCTCAAAACCGAGTACAAATGTTTCAGGATTACCAGTCACCTCCACAGTGACGCGTTATTGTACTTTTTCTCTTTTAAATGGTGTTAAAATTATCCCCCACCCCGAACCAATGTGATCACTTGATCGATGTAAATTGGTGTAATTACAAAGTGTAATTTCATGTCAATAACTATTTTATTATTAAAATGTTCGTTTATAAAAATATAATTGCGTTTTATTATTGATCGGCGCGGCTCGCCCACCCCCGATTTTTTTCCTGTGGGGAGATTCGAGCATTCTTAATACAAAGTAGAGGCGAAAAAAACCGTGGGGTAACCCTATCAGTGCTCTGGGTAAGACAAGAGATCGATATAACTCTTCCGTGGGGTGAAGTCGCTGCGCCTGGGGTGAGATCTTCTATCCGGAGAGTTTCACCCCTCGATGAACCACAGAAGTTGAGAGAATAGAGGGACGGCGGACTGGGTGCGTTTTAAGACGCCAGTTGGAATAATCATCGACGAAACGGCAGTCGTAAGTTTGTCGTAGTACGGTAAGTTTTTACTTTACTAATTATATACAGGTAGTTATAGAATGAGTTTGTTTTGACACATATTATAAAACAATCTTATAAAATATGGTGGACTAGAAAAGTAATCATTGCCACTTAATTAAGGAAAAGTATGTCAATTTTTTTTTACATTTCTCGCTAGCACCAGAAATTATATCTATATTTATTTATCGACTTAATAAATTATTAGCAAGGATCAAATTTTGACCATTTAGAAACATTCTATCCTCCTTCCAAGATCCATAGGAAGATATATCCTCTTACATTACAATTTAAATACATAATCGATACATAAATATGCCTACGCCTTTACCCAAAGCTAAAAACGGGCTTAAAATAACCCGCCCACAAACCTGACACTGTATAGGTTTTAGAGATGATTTTTAAGTAAGGATGGAAAATTGGCTTTCGCCACCTATTTAAAAACCGGTAACAACACTAACATAAGGTAGGTAATCGTGCTCTATAAGGATTATATAAAGGCGATAAAAGCGTCAAGTTCGAGTATTAATTAATGGAATTCTGTCCAGCTTTAGTCTTTTTTATCACCATATAGATGTTGTGTACACTCAGAACGTTATTCTCGTATCTTATGTTTGTGGTTTATGAATTCGTGTTGTAAGTATGGTAAATTTTCGATCTAAATATATTTGTTTATGCAGCTAAAAAACTGATGACGTCAAGTCAAAATTGTATAGAAGAAATCTATAAATATACCTGCGATTTATCATTGCATTCAAATTTTTCTTATTGCTTATACAGGGTGACAAAAAATTAATGAATGAGTCAATTTACAATACCAAATTGACATAGGTTACCTTGTAAAAATATTGATGACATCATCACAAAATTTTGTAAAGGAAAACATTTGAACCTTCAATGCTTTTTGACATTTACTTTAATAATACGTACAGATCTTTATATTAACTTTTATGTATATATAATTTCGAAAAATCAGTCACAGTTAACATAACCTTACATTTTAACTTTTTCTGTCATATATATAACTATTGCAATTCCACCGTCTGCTCCGAATGATGTTTCAATTGAACACCTATTACTTCACAGGCGAGGGAAGTTCGAGTGAAATAATCTTCAACAAATTTTTTATATACTGGCGTAAGCTAAGTATTGTAATCGAGTCCATTGGTCGACTGGCTACTTTTGTGTTTTCTCGAGGTTTCATCGTTCCTAGAGTGAGAAAAAATCGGTCTCCCGTTTCCGTTGTCAAATTTTAATGTCCATTAGAAATATCCCCAAAGACGAC